TTACAGTCTCATGAAGGCTTTCCTTGGACAATAGGACTCAAAACTAGTGTTTTTCTCTCTCTTTCCTTTTTGCATGAACACAGATTCCATGCATGCTAGCTAGACAGGCACTCAACCATTGAGCTACATCCTCAGCCCTCAAACTAGTATAAAAGTGATATTTCTTGTTCTTGGCCTTTGCACCATTGCTTCACACTCATTCTCTCATGGCACTTCCTAGTACAAAGCAAGATGAAAGATATAGTTACTATAATGTTTACATTTGAAGCAACAGTATTTACAGCATCCTACTGATGAGTCACCCTGTGTGGAGACCATAGTTCAAGTATCACTTCACAGTACTGGGTAGGTGTGTTCAGTCGTTTCCCTAGAAGATAATTTGAGCTGATGTCCATCAGAATCATAGACAGTGCTCTGGTTCTCCTATTACAACTGAAGCAAATGTCCACAAACTTAGCTACTTAAAACAAAACAAATTTATCATGTGCGGCAGGTCAGAAGTCAAAACTCATTTTCACTGGAGAAAAATATGAGACATTAGTGAGACTAAATTATTTTTGGAAACTAATCAAATGCTATTCCTTTTTCTTTTCTAGCTCTTGACACTATCCATCCCCTGCCATTTTTAAAGAGTCTGTAACTGTGGTTTCAAAAAGCCCCCTCATGGTGCAAACCCTTTTGTCTAATGGGTTCTTTGCCTTGGAATTGCATGGGAAGGAATTGCCATCAATTTGGGGCTCTAGTGATCTTAATATAACAATGATATTCATCCAGTCTTTGTTAGATTCTACTTCAATCATTGCAAGCTTCTAGAATCAAGAAGTTTGAAGAATCTGATAATTTTATAGGTCACCCAGTTTACCCTCTTATTCAATGAGTATTATGTACCGCACTTATTCTTAAACTTGAACATGACACAGGAAACCACCTAGGGACCTTGTTAAAGTTACAGATTTGAATTCTTTGTGGAGGGGAAGCAGCCTTAGTTCTTGCGTTTCTAAGCACCTCCAAGGGTGCAGCTGACCCAGAGACCTTTTGAGTTGAAAGTCTCTAGTGTTTCTAACAGATTTTGATGCCTTGGGAAAGATTCTATTATAGTCTCTTCACGCCTTGGTAATTGCAATTGCCATTTATACAAATAAGTGGATGGTGGAGCAAAGAAAAACTAAAAGTTATTCAGAGGTTGTCTGACTTTTTTTCATAGCACTTTAAAATGGGATTCCATTTTTATTTTTATTTTTGTCTGTGTATGCATGTCTATGTGAGTAGGTGCATATACCCACTGAGACCAGAAGATGGTGTCAGAATTCCTGGAGCTGGAATTATAGGAGATTGTGAGATGCCCTATGTGGGTAGTAGGAACAGAACTTGGATCATCTAAAAGAGCAACAATCATTCTTAAACACTGAACCATCTCTTCTGTCCCTTGACTTAAAGAAAAGTGAACTAAAATGACATTTTAAATGAAGGAACTTTTAAAAGCTTGAATACAGATGTCTAAAAATTCTTATACTATATATATAAAAATATATCACATATATACATACATTTAAATTTGTGCATGTGGGTGTTCATGGACAAGTATGTGTGTGCATGTCTCTATATAGATAAATAGATGATAGGTAAAACCTAGATTTATGTTAAGTGATAGAACTGTGGAAACCTCAAGTTTCATAGTATTTTGTGACACCTCTTCAACTTCAACAATTTTCTTTCTGTTAATTTGCATAAGAAAGTAAAAATTAAAGGTGCAGACTTAGACTTCTGCAGACACAAGAATGAATGCAGATGAGATATTATCAGCCATTTTGCATCATGGAAGCTGAGGACAGTTTCTTAACACTGGTTGATTGAATTCAGTTCCAGTGGCCTCTGCCACCAGCTTTCATATTAAAGCTGGAGTTACTGGTCTTAATATTCAAATTTGGCTCCTACACATACTTATCACATTCATTCTTATTTAATGTTTGAAAGTTATTACTTTGGAGCAAGTCAACTAAGGCACAGTGATTATAGCATATCAAACTCCATTGTAAGTGATTATTTTAATGACTCTGTACCAACAAAGATACATAGACATTCAGACAAAAAGATAACCTAATTATAATGACAGCACCAAAGCCAAGCTGTGACAGTTACAAAACCAATTTCAAAGTTTTTTGACAGCCATGGCTGAAAGCTTTGTTCAGACTTTTCTGTAGTAATAGTTTACTTAAGACCTAAATCCACAGTGAAGGAAAACAGAAAGAAAAAGTTGTGGCTTTTCTGTCATGCTAATAAAATAGAAATCGGTTGACATGTTTTTAATAGAACATTATGTTGAAAAGAGTATAGAAAGGAAATGATAGGCGTGGAATTTAACTCTAACAATGCAAAGAAAGAGAATGCAAAGAAAGTAACAATGCAAGTTCTAACAAGAATAGAAACTTGACAACTGATTTACTTATCTGTGTTATAAAGATCAGTAGTTCTTGCAAGTAAATTGATGGCCATACAAACAGGTTGATTGGCAGTTCTGGAATTTGATTTTTGTATTACCAATGAAATAAAGTCAAAGAAAAATGGATATAAAAATGTTTCAATCCCCAGGAAAGACATGAAGCTTCATGGGAAATCTGCTTTTCCCTTGGTTCAGATATCTCTAGAGTTATTAGGTTTTTGTCATTTTGGTTTATCTCCCTTGGTTCTGGGCTCAAAGATGTTCAATATAATTAATTCTTTGCCCCTGTGTGACTAATTTCTCATTTCTAACAGAAATGTATCTGGTTCGTGAAATGGCATTTGTTTGTACTAGAGGTCTTTATATAACACATCTTCATAGATGTTGATTTATTTTAAAATGATAATGTATGGTGATATTTCATTTGTGCTTAAATGTGATTTTATTTGTATGTTAATAAATAGAGTTGCCTGGGGGTCAGAGCTAATAGCAAGCCATAGCAGAAACTGGGTGGTGGTGGCGCACACTCTTAATCCAATCATATGGCAGGCAGAGTCTGTGTGTTCAAGGACATAGCCAGCTTGGAGACACATGCCTTTAATCTCAATACCAACCATAGAGACCTGGAGGTCTGTATAGACAGGCAGTGATGAGGAGGTCATGTGGTTGGGCTTACAATCAATGAGAAGGCAGAACAGAAAGTCAATAAAAAGAGAGACACAGAGGAAGTAGGTCTCTTGCTCAGGGGAAGGACAGCAGCGGCAGCAAGGCATAAGAAGACGGTTTTAGTCTCAGCTCTTAGCTACTGCTCTGACCTCTTGGGCTTTTAACTCTGCACTTGGCTCTGTGTTTCTTATTTAATAAGACCATTACATCTACAATAATATACCTTTTGAGCAGACACATTGTGTCCACTTTACTGAGGAGAAAATAGAGGTGCAGTGGCTTGTTAGGGATACAGCATCAGGAAGTGGTGGAGTCTCAGCTCCAGACTATTTGGCTCCACCCCATTTTGCTAAAAAAGGCTGGGTAAAATGATGCTTTGGACATCTTTCAGGTACACTTTATCTTATTCTCAACCTGAGCTTTATGTAGGCTCTTTTAGTTGCAATACTAAGGAGCTTTTCAGTCAGATCATAGGGTAGGGGCACACAGTGTCCATAGTATGGGGAAGAAAAGCCTCAAGAAGAGATGTGACTGCCTTTCTATGTCCTGACTCAGAAAGGTTTTGATTTTTGGATGTTGGCAGAGCCTATGAAAGCTTTTCTCTGAAGCCTTACTCCACACCTGCCTCCACTTTGTACTATACATCTGCTTATCTGCCATGCGACTGATCTCCATGTCTAAATTAAATTGCTTGGTTCTCTCTCCATGCCTCATTCAAATTCATAGTCTCTCTCTTCCTCTATCTTTCTCTCACTCACTCTCTCCTTATGAATCTATAATAAATTTCTCTCTAAAACTCAAAAAACAAAAAAGGAAGCGATCATGTGGTGGCATCGGTCCTAAGCAGTTGGCTCTCCGTGTCCAGAGCCTTCACCCTCTGTTTTCTCCTCTTAGATGATCTCTTCCAGAAAAGGGAGTAAAATCACAGAATGGACTTCAAATAGACTTAATGGCAGAGCTCAGTTCTGATGCATTGTTGCTGTGTGGTTTTGAACAAACAACCTAAACTCTCTGAACTCTGTATAATGCATGTCATATGTATCCTACTGTTTTGAGCTGTGGCATTAACAGACACAACATGAATAACAGGTACATAAATTACTTGGCACATAGTAAGCATTCAACATGTGGCAGCTACCGTAATACTTGTTTTTAATGCTAAGTTAACTCCACTCAAACATACACAATGGACTTGGATCAGATTTAATTCCCAATCCTGAGTCTAGCCTCGATTCTTATGTGACAGTGAAAAAAATTGTTTAACCTCTTAGAGTTTCAGTTTTCTTATCCATCAAATTAGAATAACATCCTAGAATTAGCATGGATTTTAATTGAGTTAATCTATGTAAAATTCTAGAACAGCCCAAGACACATAATAAGCTTAACAGACAGTCATTATTCACTATAGGATTATTTTCAGAAGGTATTTATGGAAGCAATAATGGAAAATAAATCTTCTGTTTCTCCCTCTTTCCAACTTTATAACCATCTGCAAAATGTCTTCATTCTCTTACTTGATACCAAATGGTCATGCTTGTTTTTCAGGGTAACCATTTGGAAACTAGTTTTCCATATAGTCAGAACTCAGGGTCAAAACAACCTATTATACAAGATTCAAGTATATATAAGTTCAATTAAATATATTTTCCATTTCTAACTGAAGATTTCTGAAACTATGTTCCTATACATCTTTAACTCACTGAAGGAAATGGCTTCCTTTGATCCCAATATTAAGCAAGAAAGACATTGATCAGTGGTCTTGGAAAAACTATTTTTCACTGCCATATTGTCCCATAGACCTGTTGTCCCTCAAAACATATCAGCATTCACATGGCAGCTAATGGTGAGGTTCGTGTCTTCATGAAGAGTTTACCTATCCATTTTGCCTCCTCAGAAAATGATGCGGTCATCTGTCTTCCACATGTTTATCCTGAGCATGGTGACTGTGGACGTGATAGTCGCAGCCAGCAACTACTACAAGGGAGAGAACTTCAGAAGGCAGTATGATGAATTCTATCTTGCGGAGGTAAGTCACTGGAGGGGTGGGCAGCAGTGCTCAAGGTAGGAGAGTCTCGTCGAAGGCCTTTTGAAAATTAACTCAATTACTTGGCTGCCTCCTAAGCTGACTCGTCATCTGCCTCTTAAGCGATTCCTCTGGTCACTGTGTTGTTTGTTCATTTCCTGTCACCGTGAGCCTGGGCAGTCTTCCCCACATGAGCCTGGGCAGTCATGTTGCCACAGTAACCTTTTTTTTTCCCCTTCTAAGTCTTACTCCAGATCTTTCTGTTTTCCTACCAACCCCTCATTTTCTCTCCCTTTTTCATGCTGTCGTAGCATGCTTCTTCTGTAAGTGATCCCATGTTCAGAAGCTCAGAAACAGACGAGTCAGCTCAACAAATTAGGGGCGGGGGGGGGGGGGGGGGAGTAAACTGAAAGTGCCAGTACAATAATCACTACACCAGAGGTTAAGGGGTTAACACCTGGGCTAAGGATGCCAAACCACACAGAAGATGAATGTTAAAATGATGAATGCACTAATTGCCCTGATTTGGTCATTACACATCTGTACATGCACCACATCAAATTAACCTGTCATTAGCTTGTGCAGCAAGTGCTTCCCAATGTGGCATCTTGCTAGACCTAATTCTTAATTTTTTAAATTAATCAATTAATTAATTTTTCCCAGCCTGATCACAGTTTCCCCACCCCCACTCCCCTACCCCCAGTCCCTCACCCCATCTACTTCCTGTACTTTCCCTTCAGAAAAGTACAAGCCTTTCATGTATATATCAAGTTGCAGCAAGACTAGGCACCTCTTCTCCTATTAAGGCTGGAGGAGGCAACCTGGTAGGAGGAAAGGTCTCAAGAGCAGGCAACAGAGTCAGAGACAGCCCCCACTCCCTCTGCCAGGAGTCCCACAAGTAGATGAAGCCACACAACAGCAACACATGTACAAAGGGCACAGGTCCCATGAAAGTTCTCTGGTTAGTGGTTTAATCTCTGTGAGACTCTGTATATTTTTCCATGGTATCCTCAGCCCTCTGGCTCCCACAATGCTTCCTCCCCCTCTTTCACAGGATTTCCCAAGGCCTGCCTAATGTTTGGCTATGGGTCTCAGCATGCTTCCATCAGTTGCCAAGTGAAGCTTCTCTGATGACAATTGGACAAGGCAATGATCTGGGGTCCCTATAATCAACCTAGCCTCTGTAAAGGAGCTGAAGGTCTAATTCTTAAATAGTTTTAATCATTTTCAAAGACCACTGTTTTTAATCATTCTGAAAGCAAATATCATAATTTAATGGCCATACATTTATGGAAAAATTGATTGACATATAGAAAGCCATTCATCGTATAAAGGAGATATATAAATTTAACAGTACTACACTTCAAGAAATCCCATATATGAATAAAACAAACTTAAAACCAGAAAACCATTACAAAAACATTTTCAGAGAGAAAACAATTTGTTCTGTAATTGAGTTCTTTTAGTTACTCAAAACTCACCCAACACATTAAAAATAGAATGGGTTGATAAAAATTCGGACCACACACATAAACTTTTCTGAAAAAGAATCTATCACATGCATATATTAATATAAACATCTATGTGGATGTCAAGAAACTTCTATGGAGTCATTTATAAATCTCATCCTCCTTGTGAAGCTCTATTTCCTGTAACAAAATCCACTTAATCCTAAACTTGGACTGCCTAGGAACAGCTGTGATATGGCATTGATCTAATAGTTTCAGGTTACATGGTACTTACAGGTAGCAAGAAAAACAGATGGTAAACAATAACAGTGGAGAAAGAATAGAGAGCCTTATGAGGAAATTATATCTAAATCAATACCAAAAAGGCAATAATTTTGCTGCGATGCAAGCAAAGAAGTAGAAATGGGCTGACAAGGTGGTTCAGTTGCTAAAGGTACTTCCATCCAAGCCTGAATACCTGAGTTCAGTCTTCAGTCCACATGTTGAAAAGCAGAGAATCAATACAGGATATGCTCACATATGTCACTGCACAAATTTGCACATATACAGAGATATTCAGTCATAGAGATGCACAATCAAAATGAGTAAATGAATGTAAACATTTTTTACAGCATAAACAAAAACATAGACTGATAGTGATGTTTTATAATAAAGTTTTAATACAGAGACAGGATGTGGATGGGAGAGATGGATCCTCACTGATTTCTGTTTCTCTTACATAGTGAGAAATGGATGAACATCCAAGAAAATGACACAATGAAATAGGAAGTTTAAGTAAAACAGGGAGTTTAAGCCAAATATACTACTACTACTAACTATGGTGATATTTTATTTGTGTTGAAATGTGGTTATATTTTATTCATATGTTAATAAATAAAGCATGCCTGGAGATCAAGGGGGAAAAGGCCAGACATTTTTAAGTAAGCATAGAAGTCAGGTAGTGGTAGCACACACCTTTAATCCGATCATGTGGCAGGCAGGGTCTCTATGTGTTCAAGGACACACTAAAGAATAGAGCCAAGTGTGGTGACACACACCTTTAATCCCAGTACCAACCATAGAGACCTGAAGGTCTTTACAGGCAGGCAGCAACAAGGAAGTGAGATAGCTGGGCTAAGAGCCAATGAGAGGGCAGAACAGCAAAGCAATAAAGATGCAGGTAGACAGGAAGTAGCTCACTTTAGGTAGCTGCAGAGCTGAAGAGGTAAGGTTTGTGGCTATGACTATTTCTCTGATTTTTAAGGCTTTCACCCCTATATTTGGCTCTGTGTTTTTTATTTAATAAGGCTGTTTAGAAATTTGTTTACAATTTGCACCCAACGTGGGACATGAACCCATGACTCTGGGTTTAAGAGTCTCATGCTCAGCCGGGCGGTGGTGGTGCACGCCTTTAATCCCAGCACTGGGAGGCAGAACCAGGCGGATCTCTGTGAGTTCGAGGCCAGCCTGGGCTACCAAGTGAGTTCCAGGAGAGGCGCAAAGCTACACAGAGCACAGAGAAACCCTGTCTCGAAAAACCAAAAAAAAAAAAAAAAAAAAAAAAAGAGTCTCATGCTCTACCGACTGAGCTAGCATAATGAGACCATATAGAAATTTGTCTTCAACTAATAATAATAATAATAATAATAATAATAATGACACTTCACCGGGCGGGGTGGGTGGCGGTGCACGCCTTTAATCCCAGCACTCGGGAGGCAGAGGCAGGCGGATCTCTGTGAGTTGGAGGCCAGCCTGGTCTACAAAGCGAGTTCCAGGAAAGGCGCAAAACTACACAGAGAAACCCTGTCTCGAAAAAAACCAAAACAATAATAATAATAATAATAGTAGTAATGACACTTCAAATATAATGTTAAAGATCCAACCAAATTTTCACAGTATGGACTTAACAGTGACATCAACGTGAAAAATGATAATTGTCCTGGGTCTTACATAAGAAAGGAGAAAGGCAAGGTTGAAACTGATCCAGTTTTAGAGCTTTACTTATTTGGAGTGGGAGAACTGAGAGACAAATGGGATGAGGAGATAGGAGTGACTCACAAAGAAGATGAAATGAAGGCCAGGTAGCCTAGGTTGGCTATGGAAACAGATGAAAATAGAGAAGAATTAAAGAGAAAAAGAAAATATTCAAGATCTCTATATGATCAAAACACATGTTTGGTTGAAGTGAGAGAATAAGAAAGTTATCATGGCCAGAAAAAAGAATCCAAGATTTCCAACTGCACCATGATTTTGGTAATAAAATATAAAACTTAGGGTGTTGTGTGGAGAGGGGTAGCTTAAACATAAGAATGGGGTTGTGACAAGAGTGTAAGGAACCACTATAGCCTGAGAGTTGCTGAGTGTCAAGTGGATATTGAGGAGTACTTCCAATTCTTAGACAAGACAGTATGGTTTGGGCAAAGTCAAGGTGCATGAGTGGATGATGGAGAGATGAGTAGAGAGTGTGTAGCTGGAGTCAGGAGTTGTTCTATCCTGACGGAATTCTATCAAGGGGTTTTTAGGAGGAATGAATGGAACATCTTTTCCTTATTCATTTATTGTACTCCACAGAACAAATCAGCATGGACTCCTTCTTCCACAAAAGGCATTGTGTAGTAGACTATTATGTAATATACTTGGGAGAGCAACACTGGAGGCAAAGACATGTGCAGGAGGCATAATCTACACATGGAACTGGATAAAGTGGAAGAAAATGTTTAAAATAGAGGTAGAGATGACATGCTTAGTAGGCCCTGTCATGTAGGTGAAACAAAAGGTTCCAATTGCACAAAAGAATTACATCAGAGTTTTAAGGAGTAATAACCAACATTCCAGAGAATAAACAGAGATGAGCATGGTGGTGGGATATTGCCATTCTCTCAAGGAGGACCAATCTCTCCTGCAGGAGTGCTGATGTTAGAGATTGCATGGGCATCACTTCTGTGGCCTTCCCACAGTAGACGTTTGTTATACCATGTCCTTTGGAATAAATAAAGTGGCCACATACCCTGGAAACACAGTAACTTGACTCCTTCAGGAAACTTACCCTGATTTCTTCTTATACAAAGCCTACCTCTTTTCTAGCCTGTGCTTAAGAATGTTAGATATATTATACTATCAAATTATACTATGAAAAATTGCAACAAAATATCAAAGAATTTCTATTGTGGAGTTCATTAATTGATGCTTAATTGCTGGTAGAGTCTTGGGGCAGGTGATTACTCCTTGTTAATTTTGATAATTTTATTAATAATATTAAAAATAACAATCACAGAGCTAAGATGATATAGCAAAACCTAAAATATATACCTCCTACTTATTATATATACCTACTACTGAAATATATACCTTCCCAAACCATTAACACAGATTTGATTTTAAAAACAAGCCTGGTGTTGAGGTAAATCCTCTGTATATAAGTACTCATTGCCAACCATATGACATTGAACATGTAAAAATGTTAGGAGCACAGACGGTGTATGAAGTGTTATTAAGCATCTAACACTAACATCAAGAACAATGAAGATGGAAGGAGAACAATTTAGGAGGGAATGG